GATTTCTAGATGTTTCGCCAATGTAGGTCTTCCTACATTGTAAGCTTCTATATTTTTCCTAATTATATCACTGATTATCTTGGAGGTGATGGTAAGGATCTTAGTGTTGGGGATAACTGGTTTGTTTTCAGATTTTTTGGAGGGCATGAATATACATTTTTGTGTGTTTTAAATTTAAGCAAATATTTTGAAGAATTAATTGTTTGGTGAAATATGTATTTTTAAAAAAAAAGAACGAATAAGAACTCACTTCTAAATCGATAAATGTCAATTCTTTTATTCTGACAATTTTCGAGTTTTGAGGAAGGTTTAAAATCTGCTAATGTACGAAATATTATTCCCCAGAAAAATTTTTTTTTTACGAGTGGACCAGTCTGTTTAAGTAGTTCCATTGACTTTAACTATCGTTGCTTTTAAATGCTTGTTTCAAAATCATAATTAGAAATGTAAAATGAGAACTAAAAAAAAAAATCATTTACAATATTTACATCGTTCGGAGAGTTATCCTCATCTTTTTTGTCATATTTACGATGTTACGGTTGTTGTACGCTCCGGCCGTCTTCAGGTGATATACGCTGGAATTTCGAACCAAACACGTCATTTCGTCCACTGGGGTAGATTGTTCTAGTTCCACGTGCCACGCCCTTTTCTGGATATCTCAGATTCAGTTATTTACCTTTAGTAACTCAAATCTCCAAATTTTTGTTCACCTCTGCTGTGACCAGGTATTGAACTCTCAACTCGTCGGGTCAAGCCACTAGCAACTAACGACGTGTATCACCTGAAAAAGGCCGGAGATTACAACGACCGAATCGTCGTGATTATGACGATAAAGATGAGGACAATAGTCTGAAATAATGTAACTAGTGTAAATAGTTACAATACCTCATCTGAGAAATATAAAAAAAGAAACAAACAAACAAACAAAACAAAAAAAAAGCACGACCAGCAAAAGAAGAAAAGAAAGATATGAAAGAAAATAACTTTGAAAATCCAGAATTAAATTTTCCATTATCATCTCTTAACAAGATCAAGGTGTTTTTTTTTGTATGACATAAATAAACGTATCGGCGTCCTGATTTAAAAAAAAAATTAAATAGTAAAATGGTTATTTCCATCAGGTATCTGAGGCGAAAATTAAATGGTAAAATGGTTATTTCCATCAGGTATCCCAGGCGAAAATTAAATGGTAAAATAGTTATTTCCATCAGGTATCTGAGGCGAAAATTAAATGGTAAAATGGTTATTTCCCTCAGGTATCTGAGGCGAAAATTAAATGGTAAAATGGTTATTTCCATCAGGTATCTGAGGCGAAAATTAAATGGTAAAATGGTTATTTCCATCAGGTATCTCAGGCGAAAATTAAATGGTAAAATAGTTATTTCCATCAGGTATCTGAGGCGAAAATTAAATGGTAAAATGGTTATTTCCATCAGGTATCTGAGGCGAAAATTAAATGGTAAAATGGTTATTTCCATCAGGTATCTGAGGCGAAAATTAAATGGTTATTTCCATCAGGTATCTGAGGCGAAAATTAAATGGTAAAATGGTTATTTCCATCAGGTATCTGAGGCGAAAATTAAATGGTAAAATGGTTATTTCCATCAGGTATCCCAGGCGAAAATTAAATGGTAAAATGGTTATTTCCATCAGGTATCCCAGGCGAAAATTAAATGGTTATTTCCATCAGGTATCTGAGGCGAAAATTAAATGGTAAAATGGTTATTTCCATCAGGTATCCCAGGTCAAAATTAAATGGTAAAATGGTTATTTCCATCAGGTATCTGAGGCGAAAATTAAATGGTAAAATGGTTATTTCCATCAGGTATCTCAGGCGAAAATTAAATGGTAAAATGGTTTATTTCCATCAGGTATCTGAGGCGAAAATTAAATGGTAAAATGGTTATTTCCATCAGGTATCTGAGGCGAAAATTAAATGATAAAATGGTTATTTCCATCAGGTATCTGAGGCGAAAATTAAATGGTTATTTCCATCAGGTATCTGAGGCGAAAATTAAATGGTAAAATGGTTATTTCCATCAGGTATCTGAGGCGAAAATTAAATGATAAAATGGTTATTTCCATCAGGTATCTGAGGCGAAAATTAAATGGTTATTTCCATCAGGTATCTGAGGCGAAAATTAAATGGTAAAATAGTTATTTCCATCAGGTATCTGAGGCGAAAATTAAATGGTAAAATGGTTATTTCCCTCAGGTATCTGAGGCGAAAATTAAATGGTAAAATGGTTATTTCCATCAGGTATCTGAGGCGAAAATTAAATGGTAAAATGGTTATTTCCATCAGGTATCCCAGGCGAAAATTAAATGGTTATTTCCATCAGGTATCTGTGGCGAAAATTAAATGGTAAAATGGTTATTTCCCTCAGGTATCTGAGGCGAAAATTAAATGGTAAAATGGTTATTTCCATCAGGTATCTGAGGCGAAAATTAAATGGTAAAATGGTTATTTCTATCAGGTATCTGAGGCGAAAATTAAATGGTAAAATGGTTATTTCCATCAGGTATCCCAGGCGAAAGAATACGCAAAAGAATTTGAGAAGATACAAGGTACGGCACACGGATCTATTTGAACTGTTAGGAAAACTCTATCTATTTAGAAAAGACGTTAGAATATTCTATAACTTAAACAGGGAGCAAACCGCCTGCGTAGGGTGATGTGGTCGGATGCAATCCTGGGGGACATGCTGCTGCCCATGCAGCACGTCCCCGCTCTCCACGTCACTGGTGAGAGCAAAGGAACGACAGGGTCGCTACGATTTAAGACCGGTGTCGTCGCAGGAGCTGCCAGAACGTGTTGGTTACAACGGCGATCTGCCTTAGGGACTCTGTCTCCGGATTTTCCCTCGAGGTTTACTCCTGAAGCCTTTTCTGTGGCTGGATATAGCCGCAAGGCAGCGGAGGTTTGAAATAAGGGTTTCCTTCCCCTAGGAGAACTGCCTTCCCAGGCTGGCGAGCTCCATCTAACCTATGCCGGAAGTAGCTTAACGTCATACCCAGGACAAAACCGCCTGCATACAGATAGAAAATGAATAGCTAGACAAAAATAGAAAGGGGAGAAGACAAGCATGCGTCTCCTTCACAGATTTATTCAACACTAGCAGTAGAGCCCGGCGTTGCCCGGGGATGTAACAATGAAGAGATAGATCAAGTATCGACCATCATAAAGACTGAAAAATAAAATTGACAAAGATTATTGTTTAAGGTTGACGGACACGCATGTCTTAATTAGTTTTTTTTACAATTGGTCAAACCCAAACTCAAACAAAAACATTGTTTTCAATCGTTATGAGTCTACAGAATGAATAGAATTTTATTATAAATTGTCTTGTAAATGGAATTTTTAAAGCATTCTGAATGTAAAAATAAAGAAAAAAGTGTGCAAGACAATAAGAAACACTACCTACCAAAAAAGTGGAGTTTTGTTGAAATCGGTTGAAAAATGTAGGAAATCCGATCCCATATATAAACGAACACACACACACACACACACACACACACACACACACACACACACACACAACAATCTGGGCTTTATAATAATAATATAACTCAATATGAGTTGTCCCCCTTTTATTCTCGTGATGCCTCTTAATCGTGTTTTCAAATTGATTTCGGGCAAAAACAATTTTGCTTTTCCAATTTTTGTCGCTGTCAGAACCACCGCAAGGTAATTTTACGTAGTTCTGTGAAATTTTGTTGAAATCGGTTGAAAAATGTAGGAAATCCGATCCAATATATAAACGTACACACACACACACACACACACACACACACACACACACACACACACACACACACACACACACACACAACCTGGGTTTTATAATAAGTATGATCTACGGCGACTCCATCCTATGGGAACTGGATTTATTATCGGTTGGTGTAGTCTTAACAATACATATGAAACGCAGACGACATTGTGTTGGTGTCCAACTCGTAAAGGCAACTACAGGACCTCCTAGATAGACGGGGGTTGAAGAAAGCGAGAAAAAAAAAGGTCTATGAATTGCAAAAACCCAAAAAGTATGATAATCGGCAAGTGGAAAAGCCCATGATGAGAATTACGAATCGGAGATATCAACATATGAAGCGGGTGCAGGAGTTCAAATACGGGAGAAGCATTTTAACAGAAGAAAAGTGCGACTGCGAAATCCGAACAAGCGAAAGATGCCTTCCAGAAGCTAAACAAGGTGCTGAGAAATGGAAAAAAAAATTTAGAAACAAAGAAAAGAGTAATGAATTGCTTGTGATAGGCATCCTCTTATATGGTAGTAAATGTTGGACAAATTCCCCAAGGATGAGGAAAAAAAGCTAGAAGCAGCAGGAATGTGATTCTACAGAAGGATACTGAGAGTTTTATGCACGGAACGAGTGACCAATAAGGAAGTCTTAAAGAAAAACTCATACACAGGAAAAGCAGCTGAAATTCACTGGAGACGTAATGTGGAAAGTAGGCTTGGAAAACTTAACGCTCACAGGGCAAACTGAGAGCAAGAGAGATAGGAAAGTCAACGAGCTGACAAGATTGCATGAATTGATAGCAGAACGGGGCCTTAGCAATGGATAAAAACTGCTAAGAGTCACACAGGAGAGAAAGTTGTAGAGAGCCATGATCCCTTCTGACCTGAAGCGTTGCGGCACATAGAAGAAGATTCAATGTAAATGGAAGATGATCCTGACGGTCATTACTAAACGATTGATTCGTTTTTTTTATGGTTTATCAACCCTATGCATGTTATTTAAAGCCAGAAAATAGTGTTAGATGGTAAGAATTTTTTGAGATAATAATGGTTTATTGATGCAAGATTTGCTAATTAACCCATAGCTGTGGGGAAAAGATATGGATCTATACCTATCCCAAGATAACTTGCACGTAAATGAATATAACAAAACCAATGGAAATAGGAACTCAACGCTCTAATTAACAAATCCGTACCATTTTCCATTACGCCTCCACACATGCAAACTTATAAGCCCTGGTATTTGCCAAGCGGGCACCCACCTAAGTACTGACCAGGCTAGAGGTCGCTTAACTTCGATGATCACATGGGGGTCCGGTCTTTCAACGTGATGTGGCCGTAAGCCTGTTAAGGATCGAGAAGAAATATTAAATGGATATGATAGTCGGAAGCCAGCGGATGTGGTATGAAACTTCAAAGACTAATAATTAAAGAAGAATTTTCATTGTGGTTATCAGACAACTTAGGACGCCATTGAAATATGAACACAATTTTTTTTGTTTCATGAAACGGAACAATAAATTAAAACTCATAAAATAACGAAATTTCTCTCAAGAATGGTATAATCTTTTAATTGGGTCTTCCATAATTTAAAAAACAAACCAATAAATCTTAAAAAATAAAAAAAAAAGTATCTAGTATTGAGTAATGGATAGCAGCTCGGATTGAGGAATCGGAGAGCTGAGTTCGAATTCCAGTCGAATCCATGACATTCACTTACGTGTTAAAACTCTTGGAAAATTTATGAATCCTATTCTTCTCCCCGCCAGCTATGGGTAAATAGAAAGACAGACCGGGTTCTATAGCCTTGGACGGCAACTGGTCTACCGCAGAAAGAAAGGGCAACCTACCGCGGAAAAAATCTGCCTCGTCAATCATGTATCGAAAAGGTACATGATCGCCTAAGCTTGTATCACGCACATAACTAGATGTAGTGAAAAGACGAACGCTGAATTTATCTGAATCTTTATTCCATTTAGAATGGAGTGTGTCCGAGTTAGACTTACTTAACAACAGAATACATATAAGGAGAGATAATCCATACCACAGGTAGTTATATTTGAAAACAACCGCTGTAATTTTTAATGCTGCCGAATTCTCTTCAGCCACTCAAAAAAAAAAAAATCCTTAAAAATGTCTTCGTTCCAGAATGATACATTTCTAAATACAAATGTGGTCCTTTAAATTCAACTGCTTTAAAAACTTCATATTTTATTGTACATTTCCCCATTCGTCTATTTTATTAAATTACAATCGTGTTTCGTTTGTTATTCAATAAAGATATTTTTGTTTAGCGCATGCGCATTGTTGTTAGTTTTTTTTTTGTTTTTTTTGGCATGAAACAAAACTAAAAGAAATCCGAACGTATTCATTTCTACATGGGAAACTGTATTCTCGCGAGAAATTATCAAAGACAAAGAGAAAAAAAAAATCAATTCCACTTGTAAAAGTAAATACTACTCTACAAGCATATAATTAACGGCAATTATATAACGTTAATTTATTTAAAATTCTTGCTATAGTGTATCCGTTCCTCAGTATAATATTGGCACTACTAGCAAGCCAATAAAGCCACTGAGATAGAATATGAGAAAATAGGAAACATTATTAACGAGAGAGAACATTAAAAGAGCAGGAAATAAAAGACAGAAGATAACGATTGACATTGCATTTAAATTTTTGAAGGTCAAAGTTGACTGGAAATTAATAAGCCGAGAGAAGAAGCTGTTAGCATAGAACTTACGGTTACATTTAACCGTTTCAACTGTAAAATAATGAGACGTTGACACCATTTTTCTACTGTTCATAGACCAGACATCAAAGAGGAAAGTTCACCAGAACAATTACCATGAAAATATTTATAGAAAGGGCACTGGGAAGCTTGAATCATTCATTTTTTTTACGGATTATCAACCCATTAAAGGTTATTTAAAGCCAGAAAATATTTTTAAATGCTAAAAATTTGTTGGAGATAACAATGACTTACTGATAAAAGTCTTACTTATTACCTATTTGACCCCTGAGTTTTAACCCTTCTGCGTGAGCTCCTGAGTCAAAATCTCTATCTATAAAAGGCAGGATGTGTGTGTGTGTGTGTGCGTGTGTGTGTGTGTGTGTGTGTGTGTGTGTGTGTGTGTGTAACGAATGCACGGCCGCAATTTTCGACGGATTTGCCCCCAAATTTACATGCACATGCTCCAAGTTAGCGGAAAGGCCAAGACCGACATTGCATTTCCCAACTCCCATCGATAGTGGAAATAAACGATTTATCCATGCTTCTACGGCAGTTTCCGTGTAGTTTGCGGCCATTTTCTACTGGCCAGAGTGAGAGCCTATAGCTGGCTGCAACGAATAGGCAGGAAGATTCTATTGGCCAGCATGAGAACCAACAGCTGACTGACACGAATTTTTAACTAGCATGCTAGCATGCAAAAATATCGATAGCTGCATTCGTCACAAGTGGAAAAATTTAAATCTGCATGGCACATTTTACCCAATTGGCTCATTCGCTTGCTTAAACTCAACGTTGATTCTGATTCCGCAGAACTGGGTTGGGTGTGAAAAAAAGTATTTGTTGTTAACATTCTTTTTTCATTTGGTTTTCCAGTTACGAGTCCTTTTTAAAGCTGATTGTTTTTTATTCATTTGGTTTAGTTTAGTTTTTCGTAACAGATTTAATGTTTTGAGTATAGAGCTTAGAAAAAACGCAGTTGTGAGATAGGCAAGAAGTAAGGCATGTAGCAAAAGGGCAAAGGGCTCCTTTAAAGGCAAGGAAGGGCAAAAATATTTTAAGTCAAGTGATAGCTATTGCTGTATGAGTCGTATGATTTTTGAATCAAGCACGGGCAACACCGGGTCATGCTGCTAGTTTGCAAATAATTGGTATGTAAAGTTTCACGGTATACAAGTGTTTACCCACTGTTCAACCTGTAGTTGGGCATTAAGTCATTTTTCTCTACCTCTGTTTAACCGGTGGCTGGGCATTACGTCATTTTTCTCTTCCACCGGGAAAGCGGTGGTCAGGTCTCATATACCCCTCTATCTATGTATATATCTATATATATATGTTTATATCTACCCCACGCTCTCAATATATATCCATGACTCTGTCTATGTCTATATTTATGTCTATATGTGCTGTACTAAGGTATTTTTTTAATAATTGTCTTGATGTAGTAGTGATAGCTAATAAACTTTTAAAACAATTATCACTATTATAGGTTTGAACTTGGTTTGGGAACCCGATGTACAATGAAAATACATAACAAGGTTATTGTCAAGAAACTTTATCTAGTGTCATTTTAAGACTAACCTTGTCGTAGAGCGATGTTTATCAAAAAAGAATCGCAACTCAATGGCGGTGTTCGATCCTATCTTGGGGTGCTGTTAACATCATCGGAAGTCTGACTAGTAATTAATGTTCAAATTTTTGGCGTAGAATAAAGGTCTTTTACTCATCAGGCTACGGATTCATTGATTTACTACTTAAGAAAGAAAGAAAGAAAGAAAGAAAGAAAGAAAGAAAAGAAAGAAAGAAATAAAAGGAAGGAAGGAGGGAAGAAAGAAAGAAAAAGAAGATAGAAAAATAAATAAAGAAAGAAAGAAAAGGAAAGAAGGAAGGAGGGAAGAAAGAAAGAAAGAAAGAAAAAAAGAAAGAAAGAAAGAAAGAAAGAAAAGGAAGGAAGGAAGGAAGGAAGAAAGAAAAGAAGAAAGAAAGAAAGAAAGAAAGAAAGAAAAGGAAGGAAGGAGGGAAGAAAGAAAGAAAGAAAAAGAAGATAGAAAAAGAAAGAAAGAAAGAAAAGGAAGGAAGGAGAGAAGAAAGAATTAAAAAGAAAGAAAGAAATAAAGAAAAGGGAGGAAGGAGGGAAGAAAGAAAAAGAAAGAAAGAAAGAAAAGGGGGAAGGGTGAAAGTAAGAAAAAGAAAGAAAGAATGAAAGAAAAGGAAGATAAAAGCGACGATAATACACTTATGGGTTTAATGTCTGCTATACTAGAAAGAAACATATTTTAATTTTGAATCTTTTCATTTGTATACCCTTACTTTTTTAAATAATGACCTACATTCACATTTATTGTAAGATTTTGTTAAAGTTCTTTAGATCAAAATATTTAACGATGCAATAGAGGAATTTACATGGATATTTTATTGTCGTGCAACTCACAAGGAGTTTATTCAATCATTAACATAAGAATTATGATTCATAACAAAATTCGGATAAGAAAACCGCGAAAATTTGACGGCTGTTCCTAATGATTATTAACATTTTAATTTATTTTATTTTTGGTGTATACTCATTTCTTTCCGGGTCCCAACCAGAGACCTAAGGTCAGAAATGGCATCAAGACATTTTCCACTAAACTTTAATCACGCTTTGAACACGTGGAGTAATGTTTAGCGGCTCTGATTCAGGAATTGGACAGCCGAGTTCGTATTTCACTCGAGCCCATTACATTCACTTATGTGTTAATACCCTTACGAAAGATATGAATTCATTTATTCTCCCCCAGCTATGGGTAAAATAGCGAGATAGACTGGGATCTATCGCCTTGGGTGGCAACCAGTCTAGAAGAAGGAACCTCTGAAATCAAACTACTTGCTGCCTTGTAGGTCCTGCCTCTTTAGGCAATGGATAGAACTTCAAGGCGGTGACTTCAACCGAGAAGAGAGACAGGGTAACTTCAACATTCCCGGTGCAATAGGAACTAGCAAGTCATTGCACTATTCTTCTTTGAATGTCACCATGAAATACAATTGTCAAATCGAGGAGAATGGCAACTGCATCAGAGGGGCGCTAAGTGAAAAAAATGATTAAACATTATTATTGTGGCCTGTTTAGGGGCCAGAAAGAAAAGACACGGAAGACGAAGGTCGGTTGAAAAAAGTCTATTGAAGATATATACAAAACAATAGTGTTAGTAATAAGTAGATTAGTACTGCGTCTACTACTCCACTTCACTTCACACTCTGCGCTTCAGTCCGACTGCAGTTTGTATTTATGAGAGGAGGAAGAGTTCATTATACTCTAAGAGGGTTTACCACAACAGATAGATAGATAGATAGATAGATAGATAGATAGATAGATAGATAATGAACAGGCTGAGATAGATAGATAGATAGATAGATAGATAGATAGATAGATAGATAGATAGATAGATAGATAGTGTTGTGGCCTGTTTAGGGTCCAGAAAGAAAGACACGGAAGACGAAGGTAGGTTGAAAAAGTATATTGAAGATATATACAAAACAATAGTGTTAGTAATAAGTAGATTTGGACTGCGTCTACTACTCCACTTCACTTCACACTCTACACCCTATCCGACTCTCGCAGTTTGTATTTATGAGAGGAAGAGTAGGTGGGTTTACCACAACAGATAGATAGATAGATAGATAGATAGATAGATAGATAGATAGATAGATAATGAACAGGCTGGGATAGATAGATAGATAGATAGATAGATAGATAGATAGATAGTGTTGTGGCCTGTTTAGGGTCCAGAAAGAAAGACACGGAAGACGAAGGCAGGCTGAACAAGTATATTGAAATAACGGATATATACAAAGCAAGAGTGTTAGTAATAAGCAGATAGAGGTGTAAGTCCGAACGGTAGGTTAACACTGCGTCTCGGCTGCTCAACCGACTGCCTCACGATTCTTGCTAGGAAGTCTCGAAGTTAGTATTTATGAGAGGAGGAAGTGTTCATTGTACTGTTTGAGAATTTGCCACAACAATTATAACGGCTCAAAAAATAGTTATAAGGACAGTAAGTTGAAATGATATGTATTTCGGTTTAAGAATTTGTGTTGACAGAGATTATCTTTATAAGGAGTAAGCGTCGGAACTGGGAGAAAAAAATAGCACCAAAACATCCAGAAGTCTTATTTGGATCATGTACCAGGTCTTCGGGCGTTCTAGTGATTTGGCAGATGTCAGGGTTATTTTAACCTAAACGATCAAACACGCCCCGGTCGACATTTCGACGTCGATGAAGACGCTCTGCTTGTCAAGTGTTTGAAAATCGATATCTCAACTGCCTTTCGCCATTTGAAGAGACGGGTTTCGTTCCAAACTCGACACGTGGGTGCCACATTCTCTGATTAAACAGAACAAACTCGATCGTATTTCTGCAGTGATTTCGTTGCTGTTACGTCAAAAAAGGAGACATTCTTGGACAGAACTGTCACGGGCGATGAAAAATAGATCGTTTATGATAACGTTCGGTGCAAACGGAGCTTGAAACAAGCTTATGAATGTCAAGATCCCTTGGCGACAGCGAGCTTGCATTCAATGGAGGTGTTGCTGTCCGTTTTATGGCATTGCACAGGCATAATTCACTTTGAGCTTCGTCCAACCGAAGGAAACAATAACTGCAACAAAGTATTGCAACCAACTCACCAATCCCAATGTAGCTATTCTAGAAAAACGTGATTTTGGAAAATCGAATAGATACCACTACAACGCAAGACCGCATACTGCAAAAAAGCCTGGCAAAAGTTTAAAGAATTGAAATGGGAAACCTTCCAGCACCCGCAGTATTCTTTTGAAGTAGCTCCTTCAGATTTTCATTTCTTCCGGTCTCTATAGAATAATTTAATTGACAAAATATTTGACTCTGTACAAGTCAGTTGAAACTACCTTACAATCTTCTTCCAACAAAAAAACAAAAAAACACGATGTTTCTACGAAAATGGCACCAACAGGCTTGTAGAACAATAGGAGACAATTGTTAAAAAAGCAATGTAGACTGGGTACTTGACTAATAAATGTTTTTTGTGAGTATGTAAAACATTGTTTTTTTTTGTTTTGTAATTGAGTACGAACGTTTGAAATGAACTAATATTTAGAAAAGAATGTTTTATTCAACAGTCTATTCATTCACTCACTTTCCTGTTAAATATCATGCCATAAAATAAAAAATAAAAAAAACATTTTTGGGTGCTATTATCTACCGCGGAATTTGCGACCTACCGTAAATAACGATACACTCATTATTAACGGAAAATGCTGTTTATTGCTTGTTTGTTTTTGTTGTTTTTAAATGGCATCAAATCAGTTTGCAAACATTTTTTTTTATGTTTGCATTTTATTGTTGTATGCTAATGATTTTTAATACGTAACCAGTTCACTGCCTTTAACACTAACCCTAACATATTTCGTACTTCCAAATGTTGAAAATGAATAGTAGATATTATACTATAGTAGAAAATGGGCGGTAGCTATCATACTATAGCAGCATCCATTTTTGTTAAGAACTGCTGCCATATTTAGGGTGGTTAACTGTTCGATCAATAAATATCGTCTGCTCCCTGTATGGAAACCATCCTGGGTAAGTCGATAAACTACATCCAACAGGAAGGTCTCTGATCACGGGGTTTTGAAAAGCTTGGGACCACCTCTTAATTGCTAGTGTTCCCAGGTCCACCCAAACCTGTGGTGGTAGCACCTATTAGGGTACTAGCTATAGGCAAATAGTTGACCTACAAATTGAGGTCAAAGCACTATGAAAATGTCATAATAGGTTTTAATGCCAGCAATACATATTTTGTAAAAAGTTATTACCAGCAATGAAATTTTGAAGAAAAAAAACAAATATTGCCAGAAATACATTTTTTGAAAAAAATATTACTAGCAATAAAAATCTTGTCGGCATTAAATAACCTATCGAGGCTGATATGCCGTAAAACAATCCAAACCAAACCTAAACTTACATTTATGGAAACGCCTTGTTTTGCTATTACCGTTTTTTGCTCAAGAGAAATCATAAAACTTGTATTGTCTTCCACATATCAGTTTGAACAACATCTGTTGCGTGAGAAGTTTTCTGTATTTGATGGGCTTCAAATGGACTTTTTTAAACAAAATTCAAACACCGAGATAAAATGCGACTGCGCAATCTCATTGTGAAGGAAGGGAATGATGCACTGGAATGAAAGAAAAGATGTCTTTCCTCAGAAAAAAAGGAAAAAGACTGGTGTTTTTTCCTTCCGGATATCACCCGTACGCAAGTTGCAATTGTGACGGACCAAACGATTATAAATTAGAAATGAAACGCTATACCATACATGCCGTATACTTCATGTAGTATTCTTTCAATCATTTTGCTCCAGGCGCAATGCCTTGTTTAGTTAGCCGATTAATAAATTCCAAGACATAGAAAGCCTTTTCGAAGAATTAACAATTTTTCGAGAATAATGTTTTATTTTCTTTGTATCTTTAAGTCCTATTATTTAACCCATAGCTGTCAGGAAACAGATTCATTCTTTTCCCAAGAGTATTTGCGCGTGAGTAAATGTAACGAACCGACTGGGACTTGAACTCGGCTCTCCGATTTCTCACTCGCGCGATATCCTAGATATACAGCAAAAAATAGTTGACGATTGACTAATGACAATATCTGTCTATATTTCTGAGATGAGGTATTATGTACACTATTTACCTTATTCGGACTATTGTCCTCATCTTTGTCGCCATATTTATCGCAACGTTTCAGCCGTTTTACGCTCCGGCCTTCTTCAGGTGGTTGGAATGTCGAACAGAATCCTTTATTTCGCTCGCTGGGTTAGACTGTTCTAGTTCCACGTGCCATGTCTAATGGATATCAGTTATCAGTTATCTCCTGTTAATTCCCCTCTCCAAGTTCTCAACTGCCTTAACCAAGTATTGAACCCACAACTCTTTGTGTCCTGTCACTGGATCTAACCAACGCCTTTAGCCACTGTGCCATGTGCTCTGACAGACACACACACACACACACACACACACACACACACACATATATATATATATATATATATAGATAGATACACACACACACACACACACACACACATATATATATATATATATATATATATATATATGGAGATGTATATAGATATGTATAGATGTATTAATAATGCAGAGACTTTTGATCAACGAGTCATATGTTTCGGCTTTAAGGAATCCGTAAATGCTTTGTAAACCGTAAAAAACAAAATAGTCGATCAATCATTATATATATATATATAAAGAAAGAACAGTAAGATATAAAATCCGATGTTCTTATAGATATTTTTATTTTTACAAAATAGTGCTCAATGTAAATTTACAGAGCATTAATATTATAAATTAATTGATTTAAAATACGTTTTTTTTCGTTACACAGTTCCAACCATTTTTTTCGTTACACAGTTCCAACCATGTATATATATATTATTTTTAGTGGATACTCGTATTTGAGTAGATGTTCCAGAGAGCGCATATGTTTTTTTCTCTTATAAGATTTTCTCGAATATTCAGGCCTGTAGACAAAAAAAAAATAAAAAATAAATTAAATAAATAAAATAAATAAAAAAAATATAATGTTTAATAAATAAACGGAGCGTCTGCTCAAGTGTCGAATGGTTTCGCAGGCCCCTATGACACGTTGACGAAGCATCACTGCATTATTAATGGCTGCTACATAATCCAATTATTAGATGTTCGCTCACAGATAAAAGTCCAAAGGATTGAGGCTGTGGGAACGTGCAGGCGATGGAACCAGTTCTACCCTACCCATCCATCTTTAGTGGTAGACGCCAGTCAGTGCATCGCGAACAATGTGACTAAAATGTGCTGGAGCCCCATTAGGCATGAACCACATGCGTTTTTGTTTTAGCAGGGATACATCCTCTAGCAGGTCTGTAAGTGTGTTCGAAACAAAGTCTAGGTAGACAGCTCCTGTAAGATATACTGCAAGAACATGTGAATCTGCCAGGTAGTCACCTATAATCCCAGTCCACACATTAATCATAAACAGATACTGTTGTCTAGCCTGTATTGTACTAAGGGGATTCTGATCCGCTCACAAATGTTGATTGTGTAAATTTGTTATTCCATCACTTCCAAATATTGCCTCATCCGTAAAGAAGACTGAAGATCGGTAATTTGCGCAATAAACCATCGGCAAAAGTTCTCCTGTAGTGAGTGATCAGAGGACGAAAACCCTGCACATGTTGCAAATGATACGGATACAAGAGCTGTTGTTCAAATACCCTGCACGCGATACTATGAGATGTACGACATGCTAGGGCCACTTGACGTGAGCTGATAGGTGGGCCGTCTCCGATAGCCTGTAGAATGTGTTCTCCGTGGATATCGGTCTTTCTTGTGGTGTCACGAATCCTGTCTCAGCAACGCGACGATAAACAGCAGCAAAGGTTGGATGACTCGGCTGCCTTCGGTCTGGAAACGCAATCTGATACAGCCGTGCAGGCTTGCGTCCATTACTATTCCCACGGCCGTATGTAAAAAATCATATCTGCCTGCTCACGATATGAATACCCTGGCATCGTTAAACGGAACACTTCACATGTAACCCATTACTACACATGTTAAAAGTTGAAGACAGGCTAGCCACGAATGAACACGAGTGACAAATGTAACCTAGACTACATGACAACACAGAGCCATCTACCGAAACAATTCTTTCAACATTTAATAACTCAAAACGAATGATTTGCTGACATATTTTTATATGGACTTTTGTCCTTGCCTTGGCGTGAGGAACCCCCCTCCCAACTTTTGTAAAATTATTTTGATACACCATATATATATATATATATATATATATATATATATATATATACGGTATCAAATGACAATTGGAAAAAAATCTTATATTTTGCCGACGCGTTTCGTCTTCCGACTTTTTCAAGGCAAAAATGAAATCGAAATGTTTTTTGTTGTTATAGTTACATTAAAATTCAAAATGAAAAAGATAGACGCTTGTGTCTAAGCCTTTTTTCTGGTTAATGTAAATTACCTTTATAGTAAGGGATTATTATTATTATTTTTTTTTTTATTATCTGTTATTATTCTTTATTATCTGTGAATTGTGGAGAAGGAAACAAGAAAAAAAAATAATAATAAAAATTCATTATTGATCGAAAAAAAACATCTTACGACAATAGTGTCCTTAACATGTGTTACATAAAAGCAATTAAAAATTTTCTAAATGAAGAATGTCATAATTTTATTGCATTTTTTATTTTACAATTCAGAATACATTTTAGGTAAATGATATTTCTGTTTGACAAAAACAAATTCATACTTTAAATTTTCCAATGAGGTCTGCTTTTAACTAGTAAAAATAAGAAAAAGGTGGAATTTTAATTACTCGAAATTTCATCAAATACTGGGGATGTAGGTAACAGATGAAAAAAAAACTTTAGGAAGATTTTCTAAAACAAACAATTAAATAACATTCATTTGGGAATAATTCCAGAAATTTTCATAACAGTCTGGTAATTACTTGATTTTTGCGAGAATTTTCTAAAGAATGTGTTTATATTTACCGCAAAAATATGGCCTAAAGTTCCTAAAACTAATCTTTCTTTTTTTCTCGATGACGCAAGAAAAAACAAGAATTTTAACCAAAATTTCTAACGTGCTAGAAAAGGATTAAAAAATTTACAGATACAGACCTGTATATATATATATATATATATATATATATATATATATATATATATATATATATATATATATATATATATATGTAGTGAACAATAAAAAAAATATTAAAAAATTAAAAAATTAAAATCTTCAGATACACTGGGTTGTAGATTAATATTCTTTCGTTTTTTTTTATTATTATTTCATTTAGATTCCTCGACTAGTTTCGGCCAAAATGGCCATCATTGGAAGAAGAAATATTTCTGCTTGCTGCTAGCAGTAAACTACAGAAATGAATGTCTTGCTGGAGAAAATGAACTTTTGTCTGTAGTTTTCATTTGTTTTTTTTATTTTTTTCTTTTTTACCATGAATCTTTTAACATTCCTTGTGTTGGTCAAACAGTCTCTTTTAAGTTGTTATTTGAGATAGAAGCTGGATGGATCTATGCTTCTCTGAATTCCCAGTGGTCAGTTTGACAGTTTTATTAGTCCTGGAGAGGGGATGTGTCTCTGTTTTATATATATATATATATATATATATATATATATATATATATATATATATATATATATAAAAAATAAAAAAATAATTTGTTCTTTTTCTTAATAATAGCATAAACATTTTGACGATAAATCTTTATTTTTATTTCGTTTGAAGCTTTTTTCATCATGTTATGCTCTATTTTAGAATTTTTTGGAGGTACCTAATTAAAATGTATATTCAGAGTCATGATTGTCTTTGTCTTGAAGGGAAAAAGGCATTAAATTAAAAGGGATCCATAGAGAGCCATGATTGTCTGTCTTGAAGGGAAAAGGCATTAAAATTAGAAGGAAGCCGTGGAGAGTCATGATTGTCTTCGTCTTGAAGGGAAAAGCACTAAATTAAAAGGAAACTATGGAGAGCCATGATTGTCTTCGTCTTGAAGGGAAAAGCATTAATTTAAAAGTAAGCTGTGGATACCATGATTGTCTTCATCTAGAAGGGGAGAGGAATTAAAATTGAAAGGAAGTTGTAGAGAGCCATAGTTGTCTACATCCTGGAGGGATATAACATTACAAAATGTCATTACCAAACACATTTTTAAATTAGCAACCTTAACAAAAAGTAAAACTAAAAGATAATAAAAATAAAGACTATAGCAATAAAACTCCAGTCAGCTTAAAAGGAAGCATATTAAATATTTGGTTGTTGCAAGTAAAATGTCGTATTTTGATGAATGACAAAAAATAATTTAATCAAAATGTACTTTTATTTAATCAAAACAGTATCCGCCTCGTTGTATGGCTTTCTTTCAACGGAAATCTAATCTGTGTATCCCATTTTTTAAAAAAAAATCTTTGTCTTTTG